CAACATGCCCAGCATTGAGCTAAGTGCCTTACAACTTAACAAAGTAGATTCTATTGTTATCATCCACATCTTCTGTATAAGAAACCAAAGTGCAGAGAAAGAAGGTAATTTGTCTGATATGGCTCAGTCAGGCTTGCGGTGAGGCCAGGATTTGACTGTGGCAGTCTGATTATCCTCGTGGCCATGACACCACCCTCTGAAAGCTTCTCGGATAACTCTCCTGCAATGGCCTCAGGACGGACCTTGTCTTTAACCCCTTAACCCATTTATTGCTGACACAGGGGAGGCACAGACAGGGTGGGGGTGGCGGCGGTAGAGAAAAAAAAAAAAGGAATTAAATGGTTTTACCTGCCCTACTGCCCTGATCGAGCGCCTGTCACGTGCAAGATCGGGCCAGGTGCCACGGGGACGCAGATGGAACGCATCCTTGATTTTAAGGAGCAGTCCGGGGTTGGAGGGATTCTCTTCAGGCTTCTGGTGCAGGAGGAATTTGGTTTCATCTTGGCTCTGGACCTCCTGAGCCACCTCCACAAACCCAGGTGAATTTGAAGGTCTGGCAGCTTTTTCTTGGCGACTCAAGTGAAGGCCGAAACAGATCCCATGCGATTAACTTGCCGCGCGGAAATGCTCAGAGCCAAGGGTCGCTCAACTTGCCAGAGGCTGGAGGGCTAAACCCATCCCAGAGAACCGAGAAGGAGCCCTCTGGCAGTGAGGCAGGCAAACAAAACGCGCAGACTTCTGGCACTCTTCTTAAGGTGGTCTTCGTGTTAGAACCCAGACACTTGCTCAGAGCTAATCCGCACGAGCTGCTCGGTACTGAGCTGGCACATAGCAAGCTCTGAGTAAATGCTCACAGTCACTATGGCATGTCACGGAACGAACCGGCGATACATCTGCAAAACTGTTCATAAACCTCCTCGCCTGGTTGAAAGCTGTTCCACCCTCTTCTAACATCCTATTAGGGGTCCCAGCCAACTCGACTTTTCAAAACTAAGTTTTATTACATACTTCTCAAGTGCCAGGCACAGTGTGTGTATTTATGTATTATCTCATTGAATATTATATATTATCTCATTTAATCAGCTCTAGGCCCTCTGAGAAAAGTGCTATTATTATCCCCATTCCACGGATGAAGAAACTGCAACTCAGAGACGTGAAGCAACTTGGCTAAGGTCACACAGCCTAAGTAGAAATCCTTTGCTTGTGTGGCTCCAGAGCCCATACCCTTTACCATGAGGCTAGAACCTCTGGAATGTACGGGGCTTTCCTGAGCTTGGATTCAAACAGAATCTGAAGCTGAAGGACTGCTGTCCTTGCTCTTGACCTTCCGGGCCTGGCTATGCCATACCCATATTCATTTTCCATGACATCCGCTGACCAAAGGGTTTCCCTTACCCAATCCATGCCTCTGCCAATAAACCAATGTTTAGTGAGTGCCTTTCCTACACCCAGTACAGGAATTGTTAAGTGTAGGATAAATTACTTTGCCTTACACTTGCATGGGATGTGGCTGTTTACTTTCAAATATGTGGTTTTGCTTCCTGGTCCTAACTCTGGGAGATAGGAATGATTATTTTCATTTCACAGCTGCAGGATCTGAGGTCAGAGAGGAGCCACGGCTTGCCAAAGTTCACAGATAGGAATGGGGGAGCGGGGCCTAGAGATAGCTCTGTGGACACCAAGTCCTTTGTTTGAGGCATCACACCAGCTGCTTCCTCAGCACCAGGGGCCTGGGGGCTCCCATGGTTCCATTCAGACTGCTGGAAGAAAGACTGAGGTCACTGCCAAGCTGGACCCCTCGTGATCTTCATAGCCCACACTTGCACTCAGTTCCGCACCGCCCCCTTCCCTTTTCTCCAAGGAGCAGGCAATATGTGGCCCAGGGCAGGGGGCAGACCCTGCCCCTGTGTCCTCTGTCCTCCAGGTCTGCGGTGGGCCCTTCTCCCATAATGCAGATTATACTGAGGAGGAAGTGGGGCAACCAATGAAGAACATTCCCGTGTCTCACGGGGGTGAAAATAGCCGTGCGCTGGCTGCTGAAAACCTGTATCTCTGTGCGTAGGTTGTTTTGCTAGTAGCGGAAGCAGATCTAGGGGAGGCTGGTGCTCTGGCTGGGGGAGGGGAGGCCAGCAGGACAGGCTCGGAATATAAACTAGAGTCAGGCACCACGTTGCTCTTGTCTCCCAGAACCAGGAGATTGGCTTTGCCGGGAGGGCTGGGCCGTG